TAGCGGTTGAGGTGGGCCTTTCCGAGACAGCACAGCACAGGTTTCGCAAGACTTCTCGAATTTTTCTACTTCCTTTGCCATGCCAGGCCACCAGAAGAATTCCCTCATGATCCGTTTCATATTCACCTCCCCTATGTGTCCTCCGTGTGCTGAAGACATAGCTTTGCGCCTCAAAGAGCCTGGTAAAATAACCCTGTCGTTTTTGAAAACGGTACACCCCAGGACATACAAATTCCTTCTTTGCGCTTCGAATCTTCGTAAGTTCTCTGGCCATATATCTGACTTCACTGCTTCGCGTATTTCCCGGATCTCACTATCATTTTCCGAGCATGATTCGATATCATCCCAGGTTATTTCTAAGACTCCGGCCTGCAGTGCGTAAAGCAAATTTCCAGAATCTTCCTCTTCAAATGGAAGTGCTTCTTGTGCTTCGTTTATCAACCTGGACAGTGCGACTACGTTTAGTTTTCCAGTAACTCTTTCAATCGTAAAATCGTATGATTGTACGCGAAGCGCTCAGGATTCGGCACGAGATACTGCTCGTTTTCCCAATCGATGTTGACTGTTGAAAATAAATTCATTTGCCTCTGTATCTGTTCTGATTACAAAAGTTCGTCCCAATAAATAAAACGAAAAACGTTCTGCCCCCCAAACTACTTCTTTTTGGGTTTGTTGATACTTCCGCTCCCTGGCCGTTAGCGCTTTCGAGGCACATGCAATCACGCGAGGTTTTCCAGAGTTGTTCCACTGCATAAGCACAGCACCCAAACCCACGGGTGACGCATCAACATACAGCTCAATCCTATCCGTCGTACTGTAGTAGCCAAGGGTTTTGATTTCTTTCAGGGCCGAATTTCTCAAAAAGTTGAATTCCTGTTCCTCTGCATCCGTCCAATAGAACTGATCAGCTGTAGCCAAAGCACGCAACCGGATGGTTTTGTCCGCGCGATTCATGATGAATCGGTCCGTAAAAGTAACCAATCCGAGGAAACTTTTCACCTCGGAGCAGTTTTGAGGAGGCCTAAAGTTCTTAATAGCTTGCACTTTGTCATCTTCTACTTGCCATCCACCCGGAGTCAACTTAAATCCGATAAATCTAACTAACTGAGTACTAGACTGGTGCTAAATTTGAAATTTTCGCTCCACAGTGCGTAAACGGTTTCAAATTGGGTCCTGATTAGGCTCCCAAAATGTGAACTACTTTAGTAAAAAACTGACTTGGCACAAACCATTTCAAGTTTATATGGGAATTACTATGAGAAAACTTATGTTTTTTTTCATATCTATAAAACAATTCACCACATGACTATGCTTTTAAAACTGATAGCAGTGATTGTAGCATATTTTCTCAGCTTCAACTTTGTTGAAAACCACTTTTCAATCAAATGTAACGAACAAAAGTTATTAATGATTTAAGTCAATGATGTCTTATGATTATGCTCATTCAACTGTTCAGCAGGCAACATTGGTGTTTCTGGTGCGAAGAATAGAGCACAACTATCATGGCTACTATGTCACACTGCAGAATACAGTGTTGCCCACAGAACAGCTGCTTGATCATGCCATAAGATTATCAATCTCTTAAACAATTAATAACAATTTAATTTGACATTTGGCTAAAAAACGGTATTCCGCAAAGTTGTAGCTAAGAAAATTTCCCGTAAGAATAGTTATAGAAATTTTCGAAAAAACAATATGGAAAATGGGTAGAAGACAATGACCAAAAGTAGAAGGGTCTGTGCCTAGGGGCACGAACGGAAGCTTGACGTAGGACCGCTAGTGGACGGAATAAATGTGAAGAGCATTTAGTTCTTTTAATTGATCAATTATCTATTATCTCAACTCTTTCCGTTTTTGAATTGTAGGCGTACCAAGTTTGTAGTAATTTTGTTTTCAAAGAGAAAGTTGATTAAGCGAATCAATCAACATCACTGGGGTCCAAGTTTGGTTACAAGATTACAACTCTGGAGAGCATTTTGTGTGATCGTTGGGGGCTTGTGGTTCTGAATATGGACAAACAAGCACTGATAAATTCTATTCCAACTTTTTTTCTGATGTAAGCTTGATGGCTCTGAAAAGGGCCGTTTTAATGAAGAGGACATCCATGGCCACTTACGCTTGGCGTGTTTAGTGTAGGTGACAGCATCACGGACCTCATTTTCCAGGAACACCTTCAGCACACCTCGTAGATCAGACCGGAAATACGTTTGACACCACCAAGGCGAGCCAGACGACCGATGGCGGTTATCTCGAAGAACTTTGCGACGACGCTTGGCACCTCCTTTACCAGACCTTTTCCTCCTTTGCCACAACCAGTCAATTGCTGCTTGTTAGGTGTGAAGGAGCGGACTAGCCACCACCTTCCTACTGCTGCTATTGCTGTTCACCACGTCGTCCGAAGCGAAAATGAGGAAATTGACGAAAATTTTATTCAGTTTCGGAGTAGTACCAATAGACTGAGTGAATCCAATCTTTATTTTTCTCAAATTCGGGAGTTTTTCCCTGGAAAATCCTGGAAAAACCTGGGAAAACATGAAGCAAATTTACTCATCGCTGAGTTCCAGCACTTTATTTCTTATTTCTGAGATAACTAAACTCAAATTTGGGTCGATCTCATTCGCCGTGATATCACCTTGAAAGATATTGGCGCCGGTGGTTAGCGTGATTACCTCTCACCCCACCAGGCCTGGGTCCAATCTCAGTCGGCGCCACCGGCATGTTCTAAGGCATAACATCTCTGATCACGCCTTTTTCGGGAAGTAAAGCCGTTGGTCACCGGTTGAGTCGATTGGTAGGGTCCAGGTGTGATCTCCCGTCACTTTTCAATAGGATCTATCTACATTGATCGATTAGCTTCATCGACACTCTCTTTCGTAAATAACACGGCTTCACAAATGTTTCCTGCCGCCTTCGTCGAATTAGATGCTAGATTGTTGCTTCTTCCATCGAAAATATCCGGCCGTGGCGATTCAAAGTTGATCAAGGTTGATCAAAATAATTTGTACCCCTTCTTCCAGTTTGATTACATGAGCATTTTGTGTGATCGTTGGTTCTGAATATGGACAAACAGGCAGATGAATTCTATTCCTACTCTTTACTATAATAAGCTTGGTGGCCCTGAAAAGAGCCGTTTTGTTGCCAAAGCTGGTGATGATTTAACCTCCGTGCGTCTCTGTTACTTCAAAACGTAGATGACATCCATGGCCGCTTACGCTTGGCCTGTTTAGTGTAGGTGACAGCATCACGGATCTCATTTTTCAGGAACACCTTCAGCACCTCGTAAATCAGACCGGAGATACGTCAGACACCGCCACGGCGAGCCAGACGACGGATGGTGGTTATCTCGAAGAATTTGCGTTTGGTTCTGAATATGGTGATGAGTGTGCAAAATATTACGCAATTCCATCCTCCCTATTCGCACGCGCCCGAGGATCGGAGGCGAATGCCACTTCGACTTGTTTCGTCTACTTACTACTCTCTGACGACTGTGCTGGGGAAGCAGCATATGCATGTAGGTAATTGGTGGATTTGTTAGTTAATTCGACACTTTTGGACAATTCTGGACATTTGCCAGTTTTTCAATAGTTTCTTGTTGAAAATCAACATTTGGAAGCATTGTTATCGATGCTTAGCCATATTTCTGATCAATTGGTGATATAATTATTGAAATTGGACCAGGGGCAGCTGAGTTATAGACGTTCAAAATCTTTCTTAATTTATTACATGTTGCATTTTTGGTTTTCACAAAGTGTACCCCCATATAGAAATCAAAGACGTAGTCCTACGTCAAAAATTTTGGTTTTCCCATAGTAATTTCCATATAAACTTCGAATAGTTTGTGCCAAGTCAGTTTCTTACCAAATGAGTTTAATTTTTGGGAGGCTAATCAGGACCTGATTTGAAACCGTTTGAGCACTGTGGAGCGAGAATTTCAAATTTTGCATCAGTCTACTGAGCACCGAAAACACACTTGTCTATGTTAAGTTTCACATTGTGCTCCTTGAAACGAACCAAAACTTTATCCAAGTTGGCATCGTGCTCTTCTTTGGTTCTCCCTACCACCAATACATCGTCCAAGTAATTTACGACACCCTTACAACCTTTATACCTTTAGAACACCTTTTGCAATGCCGACCCCTAAAAGCATTGTAAAAACTGATGATCTCAAACTTTAGAATAGGCTATACCAACGCCGGCCACGTCCGAATGCAGGTAAATTAAGAAATGGGTATGAATGTGTTGACGTGATACTCGCTTGGTTAGAAGCCGAGAAATCCTCTGAACTTCTACGAGAAATCACTGGGATGTCAATGGATCGAGTTTGCAGCAGGGTTTGTTTTGGCAAACGGTACGTTGAATTAAAGTGATGGGTTCAAGTTAAGAAAAAAAGGAATAACGAGATTCTTACATGTGAATGAGCCTGAGATTAAAAGCATGATGATCTGCTCAGTAAGCAAAAACGGTCGCTCTAAGGCGCCTCATATCACATCACACCACTCATGATCGAGTTGTTGTTTTAGCCATTCAAACCCGACACTGGCGACGCCGACGAAGGCAAGTTTCACTAAACACATGATAAACAAGCCATGTGACTATAACACTCCTTAATATGATGAGGCCTGGGTTTCATCCCACGATTTTCTGCTCAGTAATCAATAGGCATCCGAGCCTCTAATATTGCATCACACAATTTATGATCGAGTTGATGCTATAACCATTCTACTTCAACGGCAGTAACTGCCTCATAAAACACGAAGAGCAAGCAATGTGAGCATTAGGGTGCCTCATTTTTAAAAAAAAAGTGAAAAATTTATTATATACCACACTCTAGTTCTATTACCCCAAAATATCAGTCTGTGCCAAAGGTTTAGAGGTCGCGCCACTGGATTGAAGTTTAACGAATGCGAATGCTAAACATGCGAGATGCGAATGCCAGTGATATATCACACTGTTTATTAAAAAAATCATACACTACATTAAATAAATTCTATTTGAAACATTTATAACTTTCCGGTCGATATTCCATCGTCTCTCAAAAGAACCTCGCCATCGTGCACACAATCCCAATTGACCCCACAGATTTGCACCCGCCCCATTTTTACGCCTTCGATCACCTTAAGCTTGGCAACGTAGTCGGTGAGCACATCCGCATCCAACGGGCCCCCCTTTCGACTAGACGCGTTCCCAGCCCAAACGAAACCATCCTTCGCATCGGCCAAGTATGATGGAGCAACGACAAAGTACTCATCATTCAGATTTAAAGGACTGTACATTTTCTCCTCGATGTTCGAATGATTCCGAACCTCAATCGTAACCACACGGTTGTAAAAAGGCTTCGATGGATCGATCCTAACCTTGAACCCAGACACCTGCAGGCAGTTGGTCCGATTTTCATCATCCCACGTGTAAGAATGTTCAAACATGTCCCAAATGTTTTGCCCACTAAGCTTCAATAGATCAACGGTGGAACTGTACGGAATCGCCTCGATAATCAAACCGTTTGTGATTGCTGGATTTTGAAAGGTATAAAAGTATAATTTGAAAATGAGAATTTAATATAATACATACGTCCAATTGGAATAGGGTTCCTGAAGTTACCAGCTTGGATGAATGCCGATGGTCTAAAGGTTTCGTTCGTCCACTGAAAAACAAGACAAAAAGTGAGATGCTTGCAAAGATGAATCAGAAACTTACAGCACTGGCATAGGCATCCGCTGCCACACTTCCTAAAGTGCATTCCACTTTTCGGCAAGGCTCACGATTCAATCGAACGCGTGTTTCGCTGACCACTGTTGAGCCCAGCTTCCACAGCTTCTCTCGCCACGGTTGCATATCGTGTACAATCTGTTCATCCTGATGTACTGATCCGTTAATATACACGGGAAAACCTTCCCAGTACTTCAAGTTACCATCGTTATCGAAATAAACCGTCAAACGGCCCACGTATTTCCCGAAGGCCATGGCCTGAACAATTGGAATAGCTTTCCCGTTGTCCTTGCTGTTCACAACCAGCGGATAGTCTCCCACGATCACATCCGTAGCATTATCGTACGGTGCATTTGAATCCGGCGAACGGAGGAACGAATGGGAATGGGCACCCACTATGACGTCGATGTGTTCACCCGCATCGGCTGCGATTCGTTTATCGTCCTCCAAGCCACAGTGGGACAGGACAACGATTTTGTCGATTCCCATCCGATGCAGATGCAGAGCTTCCTCTCGAACGGCATCGGCGGCATCTCGGAAGGTGACTTTCCCGGTATGGACGATGATCTGGAATGGAGGGAGTAGAAGTAGAAATAAGTATGTGCGATCAAACAAAATTATGCGCATCTTTTGTCTAACGAATGGTGAACACGAGAAAAACCTGTGATATACATAGGGGAATAGTCGGTTTCGGCAATAATACCTTAACCTATTATCATCGGGTAAACAAAGTCCTAGAGGACTCAAATTTGGCAAATAGATGCTCTGGAACACGCCAAAATTGAGCTCTATAGGATGTTGTTTATCCCTGACAATAATAGAATAAGGTATTGCCGAAGCCGACATTTCCCCTATCTGGTTAAAAATGTGTGAAAATCAAAATTCTAGAAAAATAAGGTTTCATGTTTTTTTTGAGATAAATCAATTTAATCACGATAATATCGTTTTTAAACCTACAATAAACGATGAGAATGCACTTGGAAGTCATGACGTTGAAAATCCATTTCTACAAATTTTTCTCCCAAAAGTGGATACTAGACAATTTTTCATTTATATGGCATAGGGTTTTTGATCTAATTTCCGTCGTACTAAGCACAACCCACGCTTTATCTCTCTTTTCTGAACGAGTTTAATTAAAAAGGAGAATATTTCTGTCAAATATGACTTCTAAATTTATTCACCTTTCCATACGTACCATTGGATTTGATAAAGAGTCACAAATTATTGAGATATTGCTTAAAATCTAATACTGCTTCTTGATTCTAAATTCGTCCTGCGAGTTTCAATTCCGTCCAAGCGCATTGAAACGCCATTAGATTTTCTTCGTCCTACGGATAAACGTAGAAAAAAGGGATTCGCTAGGAGCGCTTCTTTTGTTTTGAGAACAATGAGCGTAAATATTCATAGAATGCACTCTAATAGGGTTTATGTTGCAGCTAATGAACTAACGCATCGGCACATACCTATTATTAATTTGTGCACGGTGAGATCATTGATAATATTGATCTTTTCTGATCGATAGAACGGAAATGGGCGATTACGACGAAGTAGCGCTCTACCCTATTGGCCATTTTATTTTACAATCCACAACCTCCAAAATTGAGTTTTTATTAAATTTTACACCACCGACCCGTAGATAGAAATCACATCTACTACGTGAAGGTCTAGGTCTATTTGCAGATTTGACATTGGTGGCGAATTAGCCGTTTCATCGTTTATGGGCAGTTTTCCGAAATTCCAGACAATTAATGGCTTATACTCACATGCGTTTTGTCGTACAGCACACCAATTATTCCGACCTTTTTGCTACCAATTTCAAGCACCAACGATTTTCGAATATTCGAGTTCTCCAACCGCTCTTCCCCGTTCAACTGCAGGTTCGCTACCAAGGTAGGAATACCTACGCCATTCAGTTCCTTGAGGTACGGTGCAAGTCCCTTTGAACCATGATCAAACTCATGATTTCCCAGTGTCTACGATTGAAAATTGTCAGATGCTAAATCAAAACGCTGAAAGAAAGCTCAATTTTGAAACTCACCATCGCAGTAGGCTTTAACTTCTTCATAAATTCAGCCATTACTTCCCATCGCAACAGATTGTACCACAGTGAGCCTTGGAAGTTGTCTCCTGCATTCAGATAGATCGCGTTCTTGTCGTTATGTCGATGCAAAAGCCGTTTTATTATCGTGTAGACTCGTGCTAGACCAGCAACGCAACGATGATTGCCTCTATCCACATCGGTGCAATTGATCGATTTTAAGTTGGTTTCTTCGAATCTAAAATAAGTGTTATGAATCATATCTTAACTACAACCAAGTTTCAGACATACCTCGCATGAAAATCATTGATATGTACTAATGTTAAGGGAAACAAATCCTCAAGTACTCGAGGATCGTCTGGTAAGTTATTCGAACCGGAAACGACAGCCACCAATAAACTACTTACTATCGATAGCAGAACTATCCAAAATTTGCAACACTCGCCAACTTCCATCGTGCCACTTTACGATGATTCCGGATACTACCAGTTGAACACTAGCTACAATTCAACACATTTCGTTCGTATTTATCGTATTTCAATATTTACATTAGTCACCAATTTGAGCGAATCGGTCTCACCGAAAAGCTCTTCCAGCTAGTATTGAGCCAAGCAAGGTTGCAAATACTCATTTCAGCTAAAATAATGTTTTTCGGAATAATAAAACCAAACGATGGTATGACGACATGTTTTACTTGTAACTTACAAGAAGACGTTACACAGTATGCGTTTGAAACATAAAACCTGTAAATTTTGCTTTCTATAAGTCACAATCAGCGATTTGCTGATCGCTGAGTGAGTGAGTGAGTGTGTGAAAAATCGCTGATTGTGACTCTCAATAAACAGGTTTAATATGTCAAACACATTCTTTGCAACCTCTTCTTGTATCTTACCAATTCAAAATATGATCATAGCATTTCATAATTTAAAAAAAAAACGTTGTTTTAGCTGAAATGAGTATTTGCAACCTTGGAGTCAAGTATAATAAGTATAAGTAGGTAGTACCCATACCTTGAAATATAATAATTTCGTTCATCAGACAGAGATCCCTGAATGGCGATAAGCAAATAAAAGCGCCAGCCCGTATGTCGGTGCTAGCAGTGAAATCTACGTGCTTTACTGTAAACTTGCTGTCGTTATAGGGTTACGTAATGCAAACTGAGCCTTGTCCCTCAATTCTGTCCGTCAAGCAAATAAATCCATATTCTGTAATATATTGCTCGTGATTATTATATTCATTGTGAAACTGACTTCAATCTTCAGTCGCGTTATCCTAAAGTTGTGCACATGCATGCTTATGTTAATTCAAAATTTAGACTGAATGCTTTAAAAAATATGTGTTTAAGTTAAATGAATTCAATAATAATTTTCAAATAACCAAAATATTACCCCATAACCCATTTTTGAATAATTTCGGCAATTATCAAAATTAATTGCAATACAATAAAGGGTAAGAACTAAATGGTGTGATATTGTCACTGTAGAACTAGCTCTTAGCTTCAGGTCTCGAAATGTAGGATCCCTTACTGCCTCAAGCCCGCCAGTTCAGCGCTAGTGGAGATTTGTGTTGTGTGAAATATTCACCTAGAAAGATTTAAAAAAAACTACCGAAAATGATGACCATGGATCATGTAATTTACATCTATGTTCCTGAATAATTTCGATAATGTTAAGTTCTGAAATTGATTATCGTATGCAATTGTAAACGAAATTATTATGTTTGCACGTGTGTAGAATTTCGTCTGCAGTTCGATTATTTGTTGAGATATGATTTAAACGTAATTGACGACTGCCTTTTCAACCCAGATAAGAGACATATACCCTACTTTCAAGTTGGCATCATTCAAATGCAGCCTGTGTACCAGTTGCCCCGCCAATGTTTCGCACGGTGTTTAAATATAAATATCCCACGGTAAACAAAAAAAAAACAACTATGCAGTGAGCTTCTTCAAATATTTAATCAACAATTTAAGCACATTTTACACCATTTTTGCACACCACAACTCTTTCTGTATCAAGCTTATCCACTGTTTTAATTTTTTCAACATAATTTTTAAAAACGTCGGAATCAAGCGGACCAGTCCTGTTTGAAACACACACTATAATTATCAACCATACAAATTCAAAGGCATTCACTACTTACCATCTAGCCGAGGCTTTCTTCATCGCAGTAAACCCATCCTTCCCATCGCATAAATACGACGGTGAGGCAACATAGTAGTTTGCTTCTTTGTCCAATGGTTTCAAATCGTTCGATTGCGGTTTACTGTGATCTTTCACTTCAATTTTCACAACCCTGCTTCCGACTGGCTTGCTTGGATTGATCACGATTCGTAATCCTGACACTTGCAAACAATTGGTTCGGTTCTCGTCGTCCAAACCAAACGAATGTTCTGCCACTTTCCAAATATCTTCCCCCTTCAGTCGAATAAGATCTGCTGTAGACCCGAAGGGAGCCGCCTCGATGATGTCGCCGTTGGTAATTTCTGTTACAATAAAAATGAGTATTAGAAAGGTGATTGCAACTTATCGACAACAGTCGTACTTCCAACGGGAATGGGATTCCGAAAGTTGCCAGCTTGGATTATTGCGAAAGGCCTAAAGCTCGCATTTGTGTACTGCAAAACAAAACTATTTCAAAATAAATCCTTTCAAACAACATATCGAACAAACACTCACGTGACTGGCAAAAGCATCCGCATACAACACACCAAGCGTACACTCTTGATCTCGACAGGAGTCGCGATCCAAATGAATCTTTGTTTCTCCCACTACTTTGGAACCCAATTCGGTCACCTTCTTACGCCAGGGATCCAACGCTTTGAGAATCTCCTTATCCTGTTCAACCTTGTTATCAATAAATTCCGGAGAGCCTTCCCAGTGTTTGACTTCACCTTTGTCGTCGAAATACAGTGTCAAACGACCGACATATTTTCCAAAGGACTTCGCCTGCACTATTGGAATCTAGAAACGACCATAAATTTATAAACTAGCAAACTATTGGGGATCACAAATGAGATCATCGCCTACTTTTCGGTTGTTCTTGCTAGTTACAACGGTCGGATAGGGTCCTTCGATTTTATCATTCTTATCATATGGCTTTTTAGATTCCGGTGAATATAGGAACGAATGCGAGTGGGCTCCAACGATGACGTCTATGTCTTCCCCTGCGTTTGTTGCAATTTTCTTGTCCTCTTCGTAGCTGCAGTGCGAAAGAACCACGATTATATCCACTTTAGCTTTTTTTAAAGCAGCAGCTTCAGTTTTCACCGCATCAACAGCGCTCGATAGGGTTACTTTTCCCGTTTGGGCTATTTCCTGTTAAAAATAGATTTTAATGCGATTCACAGATCCCACGTGCAACTTAACTTACGTGAGTTTTATCATATAGAACACCAATTATCCCAATGGTTTTACCGTTTACATTCACTTTGATAGATTTGGGAATTTTTGAATTTTTCAGATCTTCGTCTCCATTCAGGACCAAGTTTGCAACCACGGTAGGTATCTTTGCTTTATCCAATTCCGTCAAATAAGGAGCTAATCCTTTCGGCGTATGATCAAACTCGTGGTTTCCCAATGTCTATTAATAATGGAACAAATAATCATTTGAAGTCTAGGTTTCTCTCCAATATAAATCTACCATAGCAGCCGGTGGCAACTTTGTTATAAACGCAGCAGTCACTTCCCACCTTAGCAGATTGTACCACAGTGTGCCCTGGAAATTGTCACCAGCATTCAGATAGATGGGATTTTTCTTCTGATATTCCTGAAGTAACTTCTTTATCTTGTGATATACTCTGGCAATCCCGGCAATGCATTGACCCTTATCCTTCGGGGCACACGCGTTCGACTTCATGTTCGTTTCCTCAAATCTGAAATACACAATTCGATCGCATTTCGAAAAGACACCTCACAACATCCGGCATATTCACCTCGCATGAAGGTCATTGATGTGAATCAATGTTAGTGGGAAAAATTTCGATACATCCTTGTTGGCTGGCATGTTATCCGATGCCACAATCACCAATACCAGACTCGATAAACCGAGAACCACTATACTGAATCCGAACCACGAACCCATTGTATTTTCCCAACAGATCAAATCAACACTAGATGGAGTCGCACGATCTACTTGGATTTTTATGACACTTGCAATGTTTGCTTTGACCATCTGGTCTTCTGTTGATCATAATCAATTGCACGTGGATTGCTGTGATCACATATGGTCTTGATTTTTCAGGGTTGTATTTGAAATGTTTTGAAAGAGTTGTTGCTTGTCAGATAACTTTAAAATTGGCTTGAAGAAATACTAGAGCCCTGTTTCACTTGCTCCGACTTACTACCCTTATATTAAGGGAATTAATTTTTGTCTGAAATATTTATTTATTTTGTTGGACATTTGTTCTTAAGTCTGAACATTCGCAATTCTATGTACCTTGGTACTTGGTAGTACTGTACCAGGGAGTTTAAAAATATATGATTTACAGTAATATTTCACCACATGCACAAAAATGTGCAGACAATCCATTTGACGTTCAAAGATTATTTCAAAGAGACACAAAAAAATGGGATGCGTGGAGAAAACTTCATTAAGAATTGGGTTCTTTAATTTTGAAAAATATATCGGTTTTTATATATCATCTGAAAGAGCTTCGTTTTCTGAGCACAGCGATATATTTTTCGAGCCCACATACTTTCATCTCGATTTTTAAATCAAGATTTAAAGCAAAATAATAACTTCACTGTTTGACACTAAACTGACAAACTGACAGCCCGCTCCCATACAAAGTGACACCGAGTGGCTCTAATAAGGTGGTTTTTGCAAATGTAATCGTACTTATTTAAAATAGTTCCAATGTACCAAAATTGATGAAATTTTGGGTTTGGGTTCCATTTTTACATAACTAAAAAAATCGATCTTACCAAATTAGTTCAAATGAATCCACAGGAAGCATCCGTGCTAGTGTTGCATTGTAGTTCCAATCAAAGACGGTTCGCAACATTCGCCCCTTCCTATGTAGAACCTGTTTGAAGTGTCCAAATGTAGGGAACCTCCGGCTTGGGATAAAAGATGTTCGGCTGTAGTCGATTGCTGGATCCGAATATAGCTAGCCAAGTTTCAGGTCCAGTCCTTAACGCAAATACGACGAACTCTGGAATATCTTGGTTCCAATAAAGGTTTCTCTTCGTTTTCACAACCGTATGTCAGCATGACGTACAGTCAGTATCCCTTGGAGAATGGGATGCAATTCTAGCAGGGCTTCTTCCGCATAGATGGTCTGATTCCTTTTGAAACGGATAATCGCGTTCTTGGCCATCTTCAAAAAGGTTAACCGGATTAAAAACCCTCTTTGACAACATGATGGCGCTGGCGTTGCAAAACTTACACTAGACACTAAGTGCTAGTAGCGCCAAGTGGCAATTTTCAGCAGATAATTTATCGATACTAGCGCTAAATTGACCACTTTGTCAAGCAGTTTTGGCGTGACTTTCTACCAGCGATTTCACAAAACTGGACCAACTAATTTCTATTTTTTTGTGAAACGCACAAATGTTGGCTACTTTTTTCGAGGTTCTAGAAGAAAAAATCTCAAAATAATGTTTCATTTCAAAGTTCGAGTGGTAGTAAACGTCGTTTTATCTGCTCGAATGAAGTGGTTAATTGGTCGAAAGTGATAAATTTATAGAGGAAATCAGGAGATGCTAGCGCTACGTAACGGCAATGTTTCCACTTAACTTTACACAAGTTTCTGACCGAACTTGGACGTCTGGTCTCTGTGAGATTGCTTAATACAATTAAATAGAAATACCGAGTAGTTTAGCTGTTCTGATTTCGGTACAGTTTGGTGAGGTCGGGTATAGTTTCTGAGTATGGATGCCCATTTTGAAATAACTCTTATTAGCACAGAGTAATAGTTTTATTTTTTTTTTTTTTTTTTATTAATTTATTTGATAAGGCTCAACCGAATTAACTTTACAGAGCCGAGGATTCTTGGTCACTATACAATACATCTTAAAACTATAGTCAAAAGGTACAACACAATAAACACTTTATCTTCCGCTATCCAAAAAGCCTCCTCCATCAGAACTGGAGCCGCTTCCAGTGGTTTCATTGTATGGCAAATTGTTGTACGCCAACGAGGGTCAGAGCGCGTCCATTGCAGCAATGGACGCAAAACGTGGTCAGCACTCACACACTCATCACGAAACGGTTGCTTTCCAAAGTCGACGACGCATCGACCGAAAGAACTGCTGATGAAGAACAATGAGGAGGACCACACAATGGTTGCTGCCGAGAAAATAGACGATCGCGTAGCACACATCGAGAGTGGCCTGCTTTTGTCGGCAGCCGAGTGAACACTGGAATAGTTTTATTGTTAGGGAACTTTCTTTTGGGATCGTCTTTTCTTCATACAATTCTCATTATTCATACTATATTAATCATGATCAGTCTTTTAAAATGTTATATGTTTAAGTCCCGTTCTAGATTTGTTTGTTATTCATATCTTATGCATTGCAGCTCGCGAGAGGTTACTAAATATGGGTTCTTTTTCTCACCCACAATAGTTTGGGGGGGAGGGGGCGATCTGAGAGCTGAATAGAGGCAAATAAAATAGGGAACACAACACCATGACCCAAATGACTAACCAACGCATGCGGCTCAGACTTAACTTGTTCTATTTCTTTCTTCCCCTCATGTACCAATATTACCTACCTGAGAACAAATGGAAACACGGCCAGATTTTCAATAGGAAGAAGGAAAAAAAGCGAGAAAACGTAAGAGAGTAAGCAGTCAGAAAGGATTAGGCCATTTGGAAACAGCCAATTTATACTGGACGGAACTGGTAAGTAGGATAAGAATTGTAAAAAGGTGTGTGCTTGCATGAATTACCTATTTTAGAATTACCTATAAGCCACATGAGAACCACATTTCCTGCAATTACTACTCCATTGCACAGCACACACCTAACAATGATCATTAACGGTCATATAGTTTCAGCATTATCGACATTTATAATCAAAAGGTAAGTTGTAAAGTATAATTACCATGCATAGATATAAGTTAATGTACCAGAACCTGGACGGACACGAGCCTACCCAGGGGAGGACCCGGATACGACCACCCATGTGTGTCTAGAGTATCGCACGAGCTGACGAGTGCAACGGGAAGGACAGTAGGTGTATAGACTAGGGAGTTAGTCCCTAGATAAGCCAACTTAGCGGTTGGCACAGCCTATACACTGAACAATTACAATTACAATTAGAATTCCGGAACTGAGAGATATGTAAAATCTCAAACTTCAAAATCACTAAGATCAAGTATAATTCTTAATCAAGGAAACTGATAAATACATAAAAGGGAAATCAGACATCGAAAGCAATTTGGCATCCTGGGACCTCACGGGTTCAATTCCCGATTCGGTCGATAAAATCTTTAAGATTAGAAATTTACTCCACCTTCCTGAACATAGAGTATCACTCATAGACTGAGCCATACAATATTTTTTTTTTTCCTTTGGTTTGTTTTTTCCGTCGATCTTGTTTTCCGTGCTGAGCACCAATGCTACCGACGTGCCAGAAAGGCAGCTCCCACACCTGGATCCTACCTATCGACCCATCAACTCATGAACCGGGGACCAACGGCTTTACTTCCCATCCGAAGGAAGGCATGATCAGAGATGTTATGCCTCAGAACATCCCGGCGGCGCCGACTGGGATTGAACCCAGGCCTGCTGGGGTGAGAGGTAATCACGCTTACCACTACACCACCGGCGCCGTTCCATACAATATACCAATTCATGAATTAGTTGGCATATAAACCTCTCAATTAACTGTGGAAGTGCACCTGAAACACTAGTTGATAACCGGCAAAATGCTCACCACAGAAGAAGAAGAATGCATAGGTAAAATCTAGAATCCCGGAAAGAATTAGGACATTTACATGGTTTGCCAAGAGTGTAGCAAACCAACCAGCACTACGACTGTTTCGTGTCTTCTAATAAAGGACCAGTACAATATTATTATGATAATTTTGGATATTTCACTCCGGTTGAGCTATCGATGATTTGGATTTCGGAATATACTGACGACTGTATTTGAATCACATACCTACAACATTCACTTCCGTCAGCATATATTACCATCCTAATATAAATAATACCACTATTTTCTTTAATTATCAAAATCACACGGCGTAAAATGACACTACAAATAGATCCGGCTCAGCTCCATTTCAGTTCAATCGTGTTTCGTAACCATGACTGCGCACAGTTTGAAAGCCTCGAGCATTGCTCTACTATCGCTATCGTTCGCGCTACTGGTATGTACCTACCTTCTGCATTCTCTACACTAACAAATTGGCAATCTCATCCAACGGAAGGTGACAGGTAACATCGTTAAACTCATTTACATCGCACGCATACGAATATCCTCCCGGGATGTAATCGCGAATCCACGGCAACCAGTCGATCTTCTCGGATACGTCTTCACAATAGACGTAATCCTTCTCAATTTCGGCCATCGTCAAGTGAGGATTGTTCACTCCAATCAGCGCAATCCCAGCATCGTTCTGTTCATCATGAAGAATTTTATAAAAGATCTTCGGAACGGGGATACGACTGCCTTCATGGAAGTTGAAGTCCAAGTATATCTTTTGCATATCACCGTTATCATCCGGTAGCTCCATAATTCCGTAAGTTCCGGTGTACACAGTCACATTCAAATTCCGTCGGGTTACGAACGTCTTCACGCCATTTTCGATATGCTGCCAGTTGAAACTCCTAAATTTGTCCCACTGTGGAGCAACGTTTATGTACCGGAAAGTGGCTACCTGATGTGCACCGAAAACAAAATCTCCCTGGTCAGCAAGCTGCCCACGAACTAGAAAAATGTCCTTTTTCCTATTCATTACAGTGTCGGCATGTTCCGTGGATCCGAGAATCAGACCTAATGTTGCATGCTGGGTATCAAAAGTGTAAAGTTCTGCTAGTTCAATGTCGGGGAAAAAAGTTCCTTGCAGGAAATGATCCCGTTTCGCCCTTTCATGCTTGATATTCCATGGCGAAAGAGTGTACTTAACGTAGTAGCTCTGTAGAGTCTTCTCGTCGAAACAAACCTCGTATAGCTTTAGGAACCGAGCGCCCAAGTCGAAACCAATCTTCACCTGTGTTGCGTTGTTGAAGCAGTGCTTTCCAATTCGTGTGGCCGTATGGAAAACGGAATCACGGCACGTCAAATGCGAAATATCATATACTTTGCCATGATGAATGAATCCATCGTTTCCATCGCAGGTTGTGATCATAGAAGTGGCATCCGAAATCAGAAAGCCATGTGAGCAGAACAGCTCAACCTGTTCGCCGTGGTTAAACATCACATCGGTGGTGTTCGGAATTGGAGTGACGAATCGTTCAGTGTGTGGCACGATGAAAAGTGGTTGGTTCCTGTCCAGATCTTCATTCAGCGAAATTTTGCAACCTATCAGGATTAATTTATGTTATTTTATGATGAAACTAACTCTCAAGCATATGATGAACTGATCTTACCAATATCGTTATCGAAGTCTTCATTTAATTTGGTTTCAAATGTAACAGTAGACAGTAAAGCAAATCTTCCTTGATTTGGGACAATCTCCAGTAGCAGAAGTAGCAGTATCGCAAATGTGTATTGCATGATGGACTTAACACTGGGACCGACGAAAGCTGAATGAAACTTTCCGCATCACATGTAAATGGCAAGAAAGATAATTCTTGTCCCCTATGTTCAAATTCTTCAAGGTTTGTTCACACAATTACCTAAGGCTATAAAAAGGGATGGAAGGGGGTTTGTAGTTTCACTATTTGCAATGGGAGAGGAAGGGGTTATAAGAATTTTATGTTTTGACAAGTTATCATCTTGGCGTAGAGTAGGGTTTTCATTCCGGGATTCCCGAATCCCAGAAACAAGATTTTTTGATTCCCGGGAAATCTCTATTTATTCAATACTTGCTATTGATTCAGTTGTACTTTACTTTCTCCGTCGACATCCACGGTGTCTCTGGAAGAAAATAAAGAATTGGAATATTGGCCTGTAACGTGACATACGCCAGCTTGGATAGTAATGTAAGGCTTGTTATTCCTGATATCATTTCTTTGGCCATATACAAAATGTAGAGCAAAACGGATAGGTGCGAAATGTATAGAAATAATCGTTCAATGTGAATAGACGGATGCAATCTGTTCTCAAAGTAGACACGTAACTATGCGATTTTCGTTTCTTTCATTCCACGTGTCCAAAACAATCTTCAAGGCATCAGTTTTGATTACACTTACAATAGAGAAAAAATCAACCAAAATGACAAACTTAAAATGAATAAATTTAAAAAATCCCAGCCAAACTGATACCCTTTCTTTGTCAATATTTCTCAGAATAAGTAAACAAACATCTATAGAATTGCATGCCACAATTGCACTCCATGTTATTTGTGAACAGGTTTTTATCATACCGTAACTTGTCTTACGCTACCTGTTGCAGCCGTTTTAGCAAGTTACCTGAGATTGGGTTACTGGAACAACCTTTGCTATTCCAATATTTGCTAGATTAACTCGTTTTGTCCACTTTTCAATCAATAAGGTAAAGTGGGGCTGGATAGTACCTAGCTGATTTTTTTTTTCAGTTTCGAAGAAATTTATAGCTATTATATTAAAACATAAATTCACTGCTTTCTCACCCCAATGGGTCTGGGTTCAATCCCAGCCGAGGTCGGTGGGATTTTTCTGAGGCATAAAAACCTCTGGCCACGCCTTCCTTCGGAAGGGAAGTAAAGTCGTTGGTCCTGACCCATGTGTGTTGAATGGGTGCGATATCCTACGCAGGTGTGGAAGTTGCCTTCCTGCACATTCGATTGCTGTCAATGGATGACAATCGATATCCGTCGGTGATTGGCACTAGATTGCGGAACATAGACCGACGTTAAATAAAAGAAAGAAGAAGAAGAAGAAGAAGTGGTATTTCTGAAAGTGGCGTTTTACCCTAACGTTACCTTAATATTACATCACAGACAAACAGACACAACACATTGAACATTTCTCATTGTAAAATATCGTCGCTAAAATATTATCGCCATCTGTCGTATACATGGGCAATACACTCAACAGATGGCTGTAGTGTGTACCGTGCCAGCACCATATTTGACGCGTCCCTAATAATGGCGCACTCGTCTAATTTTTATCGCATCTCGATTTTGACAAGATATTGTTTTTAACTTTGTTACACCATCATCCCTAGAGCACAGGAACTAATATTTGCAGAAGTAACATTTCAAAAATAATGATTGAAAATAGTCGAACATTATTGAGTGCGTCGATTTAGGAACCGCTTCGAATATGGTGCCTCCACGGTAAACGTCGAACGGAAGGGAATTGATTATGCGCGTCACAGGTGTTGGTACTACACAGATAAAAATTCAGAATTTTAATTGTGATGTAAACATTCATTCACGTATACTTGTATTTCATTTCACGCAACCGAGCAACTTGCAGACAATATTGTTTACAAAGATGGGCTTTTTTATACAATATTTGCTACATTGCATGAAATGTGTCAGAACTTTACATGATATATAATGTAAACGTATATGATATGTGACGCTCCATTTATGTGCATCATATTGAACAGAAATTTACACTACTTTTTCGAACTGTGTACCAATTAAGAAACATTTAAATTGGCCGTTAAAAGCAATTTCGATGAAAATTTTAAGAGTGTTATGTCTGCTTTTCTGTGATCATATCTTCCCTATCTCAACTTTGGGCAATCCGCGAAAGTGCTTGCATTTTTCTCAAGCACTTTTGATCTAAATGCAATCAGTCTATCATACTCGAAATGAACCACGACCAGAGTTAATGTACACGTGCATCCATCCCGCGTGATAGAGACACGCTTTCAATCAGATCGTAGGTGCCTGGTACATTTCGAGACGAATTATTTCGCGTCTCTTTTTTATTTCAACGTGCCTCATTCGTGTCACATGTGCTGTGTCCCATGAGCTAAGCTCGGCGAGCTCCAGGGCGATCGGCAGCGTACCTACGTCCTGCGTGCATGCTAAAAGTAGCTGGTTGGTGATAAAGAAAACAACGGAGAACTGTTGATCGAGTAGTCTTGTCACACTCTAGCACAGAACAAAAGGAGAAGTGCAAACAAATTGGTGAATCAAAAAGTGTTCGTTTTTCTGCTCAACAAGCGATGTGTTGTGGTAGCGTTCCACACGGGCTTACTATGTGTACTCACACTATCATAGCATGCTGCCTATCTTAACTGCAGGCAGAAGATGCCTTCTACCGCTAGGTGCGCTAGTGTTCGCAAATGACAAGTGGAGCTACTTTCTGATCCAAAGTTCCACTCCTGTGACTCTAGTGTTGCTGGTACAGATGATTGATTTGAGATGGTATTCAGTTTTTGAGGGTTGAGAGATTGTGGTTTTATAGAAGTATTTCAAGCGGAAGATGAGTTAAACGATTAAAAATCATTTACCGGCGGGGTTATTTGTTACCGATCCATGCGCATGGAATTTTCATGGTTCATGATTTTGCTGGACCTAGTTCAAACAATTTAAAATCAGCCCCTGATCATTCTCACAAAATTTGATCTCATTAGGATATGAGCTCATACTGCACTTGGCCCTTTGAAGTTTATGTGGGAATTGAAAAATTGAACGTTAGGATAATTAATTATTAATTGATTAGGAAGATGATGTTCTTCCGACATGCTCCATTTACTACTCAGCAGACAACGTTGGAATAATAGAAAAACAATCCAGGCTATTATGTCATAAGGGCAAGATGCAGTGTTGCCCTAAAAGCAGCTGATTAATCCTACCAGAAAGTTATCAACTTAGAAATAAATTAATAACTAATTTTGTAGACGTTCAATTAAAACGGGGTTTTTAACAAAGTTGTTGCTGGGAAAATTTCACGTAGGGGGGGGGGGGTCAGGGGGCTCCGATATACAACTTTTTACGTAAATCATTATGGTGTAGGGCTAGAACGATGAGGACAAATAGTACACTTCTTGTAACAATTCCCATATAAACTTCAAAGAGCCAGTGCAGAATGAGTTCGCAATCAAATAGCTCAGTTTTTGGGAGATTGATCAGCCTGATTTGGAACCAATTGAGCTTGGTTGATCAAATTGAAACCATCGTAGTATAATAGGTATTTTCCAGCTGGAAGAGAACCAACAGTTCAGCAGGCCCTTCAAAAAAATGTCTTCGCTGTTGAAATTGATTCGTGTGACTTCATCCAGTTGTAATTTCTGCCTTTCAAGCTGTAGGCGATAACATCACTAGTTAATTCTAACATGTACCTAAATTTGAGAACTGTTCAAATATATGTCTAATCTAATATTTATCTAATATATATATATATCTAATAATATATCTAATAAATTTAGAAAAACAGCATGGTGTGTTCATCCCAAGTAGTAGTTAACCTGAAAATATGATGAGAAATAAGAAAATTGGATTGTACATTTTAGGATGAATCGAACATATTTGTCACACTCTGAATTGAGAACCATGTTTTCCAAAATGTAGGCTCAATATCTTTGAAAGCTCTGCGGAGCCGAAGGATTAAACAAATATTAAAATGGAGATCTAAATCAATTTCCTTTTTTTTGTTTGCAACGCATCGAATCTCGACAGATCCGCAAACCGCTTCTGCCGAGGATGCTGGGCTTCGTTTTTGCAAGCTTTATCGGCCTCTTGAGTGCACGTCCATTATCACCACCTCCATTTTGTTTTATGCATAGACAAAATTTATTGAAATTATTTGAAGTTCTGAGAGCATGGAAAAGTTCAGAAAACTTCGTAGAAGTGGGAACTTTATACAAGCTTAGGGATCTCCGTTGAAGTTAATTGTTTAATGTAATGAACCTCTTTATTTTTCAGGGACCTTTTTTATAATTTCGGAGCACTTTGATGAAATCTCGTGGACTTGAAATAGTTCAGAAAGTTCCGCGCAAATTCAGGAAATTTCGTGCGTCGAACTTTGCGGAAAATCAACGAAAAACGCAGACGTGCAGCAAACTTTGATGAAGTTCTCCTGAAGATGAAGATTTTGGACCATCGTTTTATTTCAAAGAACTTTGAAATTTGAATAGATGTTCAGCAAACGATGCATAAGTAATGAAGTAATGAAATTGGGTTGCTAGCGGAATGCTTAAATAAAACAGCAAAAAAAGGTTATCCTTCCATTTAATTCCGCTTAGTTAACTTTAGTATCCATGACAGATACGTATTTCGACTACAATGTGCAGTCTTCATCAGTGTCATTCCCACTAAAGAACTTATCAAAATCTAACCCCTTAAGTACACATCCCATAGGTAAAAAAATTATACCTGTGATCTTGACTTTTTTACCTATGGGATGAGTAACCTTTTTTTGGCTGTTTTATTGATGCATAAGTAACAAGATATTCTTTCAGATATGCTCCCTAGACAGCCAGGAAGTATAAAAATACCAGCATTGGCTGATGTTCTTCTGATCTGAATTAGAGAGTTGCTAAAAAAAGGATGAGTTAAGAATGTGCTTAAGTTTTTGAATATCTTATTGTTTCAAATGGATAGATCAACTTTCAACACGGTATTTTCCAAATTTAAACCATACAATCTGGGAATCCAGCGAGCGGATGCGACGAGATATTGAATCATATTCCGGTGCTGCTCCGATGCTGGTGGAAACATGGTGATTTGATCAGGGGGTGACGTGCTGTCAAATCAACTTACTGATCATTCTTGTATGAATTTGGTTCCAAAATTAAATAAACCCTGTAGGTTTCTTGTGGCTTGTTTACGTTTGGAATCAGTTATGCGAGGTAGGCGACGATTGTTCGTATTTGACAGTGCATTTAAGTGTTGAACCGGAAAAAATAAACAAAGAAGATTCTAATTGACCGGCAAATTAAAGCTTTGGCTGTTAGAGGATTTCAAGAATTCAAGCACTGCAAATATATGCTACCTTTCCTCTAAAATAGGAATGGTTTGTGGTAACGCATATGAAATGTCGGTCAAAGCAACCAAGTTTCAACAGCCTGTATTTCGTTTACCTACACCTTCCAGAACTTAGCGCTCTGCTGTTCTAGCATTAATCGTAGCACATGAGATGAGGCACATGAGATCAGCGCGAGCCTCGCGCACGCCAGGATTTTTGGGTGTCGCATTTGTTTCTCGCTCGTATCTTATTCTCGCGTGTCTCTTTCTCTCTCGTCACATGTTGTTTTCGTTGCGACGGGAGACGGTTTGTTGAGAGTCTCGGCAGCACATTTTTGTACGCACGAGGAAAATGTAACTCTGACCACGACGAAACTGGCACAACGACGCCCTAAGTGCAGGGTTCCAGGGTTGCAGTTCCAGTGCAAGCAATATATCATTATCCTTCTACAACTACGATCAAGCTATATTACAGAGAGAGTTTATCGTGGTAGTGGTAGCAAGAGTTTTGTCTTTATCGTTGATATCTTTATGTGTTTGGATTCGCTGGTTGCCTGCATAATTTGTAATTTGGTATTTGTTTGTTTTTAATTATTGTAATTACGACCGCATCATATTATTCATGAACTCTTGATCGCTGAGAACGCTTGTGAATAATTGAGGTGGACAAAAGGGTGAACAAAGACGTGAATGCCTAAACTTTTTCACATTGAAATCGCTGCGAAGCAACTGAAAAGTGTTTTCATTTTCATTTTCAAGCACAGAAGGGGGTCATAGGGCCAGGTCTCCAGTAAAACATCACTGTCCATACAGCACAAGGGTAGAGGTAAAAATTTGGCACCACAGAATAATAAACACATGGATCAATTGAATCCTGCTTAAGATGCCGGATAGAGAGGAATAGTGTAGGGGATAGTCGGAGTAACAGTAATATTAGTAAAAGTTGGAAAGTAAACCTACAGAGGACCATGTTTTGCAATACCTGTAAATCTTGTTTTATGATTTCATTTACTTGTTTTATTGATTAGTTTAGTGATTGATAATGTACTTACATTTTGTTATCTACTTAGCTGCTAAAATCCGTGGAAAGGCTCCTCTTCGCTGTCCGGAATCGAAAATCCTTCGAATTCCGACAAACGTACATCATCTTCCGTGTTTTCCATGCTCACGGAATTTTCCGGATCTTCATATTCAGACTCGATAAGTGCGTTGAATATTTTCTTTGTGGCCGTCTTGTATTCGCCACGGTTGTATGCCAATTCCCTCCAGCCGCTGTTGTGTTGCTTCTTTCGAAGTCCTGTTTGAGACTCGTTTTCCACGTGAAGCAGGGTCGTCCTAGTTTCTTTTTTCCATGCACGCGGTAATTGAGATGTGTTCCTTACCACATGTCCAAAGTAGTTTAGCCGCGCCACTCTAATTTTATTGTTGATCGTGTGGTTCCCCAGTTATCTGACTGCAATATGTTGGGACTGCCTTCTTGCGCTTTTTGAGTCATTGATAACAGTTTGTGGCGGTTGTTCTGGGTTTTCGTTGGTGAATGCCGCAGGATGCTGTCTTGCTTCAAAACTAAGAGCCTTTACATTGCCATTTCCAGACTTCGTGTTGTTAGTTTTCTTGAAGGTCTTTCGCTTCGTATTTCTAAGAAGTGACTCTATAAATAGATGGGGCACAAAACAAAAAACAAAAACAAAAACAACGCTTCCAGCCCACAAGCTGTAGACCGAGTGCAGAATCTTTGTGATGATACTTTCCAAACATGCATACCCATAGAAATAAATTCAATTCAATAAAGGATATATTAAAAAAAAAACACAGATGATTTCTACTGTGACTAAATCCAGCATTCCTACTAAAATATCAAATGCTGTGCTTAATCATTTATTATTAGTACAGAGCAATAAACAATGTACGGTGATGATTAATCTGTTAATATGCTTTTATAAGCGGGTTCAAATGCACTTTTGGTAAGCATCAACACTGATCTGGCAACACTAGTTTGCATCTTTCAAATGTGGTAAAGATCCAGATCAGCCCTGGGACCTGGTAGCCTAATTAAACTACCTCAATATTTTGCCAAAGCCCAGGGACTGCGAAGCAACTGAAAAGTGTTGAGGAAATTTATAGCTGTAACTGTAATCTTTTGTTTGCTAATCTGGTTAAGATGTTATGCTTAATTATCTTAAAGATAAATCGTCCAGCTCAAACCTTTGTAGGGGTAAGCGGTGGGATAATCATCAACAGCATTTGTAACAAATGAAATGGTGAGTGAACAACGATCTGTAGCTATACTGCCGCTTATGGCACGTCCTTCCGATAACATAAATCAGCAAACCGAGAAAAGCAATTTACTCAATTGTATGAGAAATTTCTAGAAACGTAGGTCACTCAGCGCTGAGTAACGTACCTTTTTAGAAATTTATCATACAATTGAGTAAAAGTTACTCTCTTTCTCTCGCAATATGGGTGAATATAAGTTTTGAAAAAGCATCCATGTTTTAAAAAATATGTTTATTGCAGTGTATCACATTAACAAGTTCATCCCCTAAGTTAACAAATTAGAAATCTTCTTCAACGGAAGATGTTTGGTAACAGCGTTAAATTCATTCACATCGCAAGCATACGAATATCCACCTGGAATGAAGTCACGTTTCCACTTTAGCCAGCTAATTTGATCGGAAACGTCGTTGCAGAAGATATAGTTATCCTTAATTTCATCCATCGTTGCATGCGGGTTGTTCACTCCAATTAGCACTATTCCCGCATCGTTCTGCTCGTCGTGCAGAACCTTGTAGTAAACCTTCGGCACCGGTACTCGTCCTCCATTGTCGGGATCGAAGTCCAAAAAAATTTCCTGCATATCACCATTTGCGTCCGGAAGTTCCAGAACTCCATGTGTTCCCGTGTACACGGTAACATTTAAATTGTTACGAGCAACAAAGTCTTTCACGCCTGTTTCTATACGCTGCCAGTTGAAAGCGTTGAACTTCTGCCACTGTGGTGCAACGTTAATGAACCAGAACGTAGCACGTTGATGAGCACCGAACACAAAGTCAGCCTTAGCAGCGAGATGCCCACGTGCAAGGAATAGGTCTTTTTTGTTGTTCAACAATGCGTCGGCTCGTTCGGCTGATCCGAGAATCCTTCCCAGTGTTTTTCGTTGTGATTCTATGTTATACAACTTGGACATCTTTAGAGATGGGTAGAAGTCGCCTTGAATGAAGGGAGGTCGCTTCGTAGATTGATGTTTCGCGTTCGATGGGGATAGACTATGCTTAACATAGTAGGTTTGTAGGATATTTTCATCAAAACATGCTTCGTATACTTTGGGGAAACGAGATCCCATATCGAAACCAATTTTCACCAAAGTAGCATCGTTGAAACACCGGTCTTCCGTTCGAGAAGCCACATGAAATACCGGGCCCTTGCAGGTGAGCTGTGTTATGTTGTGAATGTCTCCATTGTGGATAAACCCGTCGCTTCCGTCACATGTTGTTACGATGGAATTTGACTTGGATGGAACTGCCTCGGAATCGCCAAAGCCACGCGTACAGAATAGTTCTACCTGTTCTCCCTGGTTGAACAGTAGGTCTGTCGTGTTGGGTAGTGGGGAATAAAAGGTTTCTGTTCCCGGTATGAGAAAGAGCGGTTGCTTAAGATTGAGTTCTTTGCTCAAAGAAATCTTACAGCCTGAAATTGAACAGATCAATAAATGGTATTACCATGGTTGACCGAGATAATAATGCTTACCATCATCTTTACTGACTTGAGACTCTCCGTAGCTTTTCTCTAAACCATCCGTTAATGATTCTATCGCTTTTCTGCAGAAATTCACCTCAACCTGAGAAATCAGCAACACTATGCAAGTAAATTTATTCCACATTCTCTCTTCGATCGTGTGGAAGCGTTGTGATATATTTAACCACTTTCACTCTATGGTTTGCTTGCGGCTTCGCTTGGGCGTCGGGGACGACGACGGTCAGATCGCGGCGAACGATCAAGACCTAATGAAGCTCGCGGTGATTCCGAATAAGCACCACAGCTACAGCTACCGCTTGCATCCGTACCTACTACTTCATTCAGCCGTTATAAACAAAACCCCGACGCGCATAGTGGGTACCCACTGCGTCGGAGAAAGAGAGTTGAATGAACGGTACATGAGTAAACCGCATTGATGAGCATGATAAAGAGCGACCAATGGAGCAAAACGAAAATATTGAAGGCAAAAAATTCGGTTTTATTTGCAATTACGAATCTACCTAGTATTGTCAAGTTATTTTTAATAACATATTCTCGGTAAACATCGGAGTTAGCGAGTTATGTTCCTAGTGTCTATTTAAACATTTCTTGAACTTACAGACAATTTGAACAAGTTTAACAGAAATTTTAAACAAGATTTAGCTTTTAACACAACTGGAAAATTAATCATAATCGTGTAATTCTAGATAGAGCTGGAATTAGGTCGTAACAGCTTTTGTAAACAATGACTTATCTCGAGAATTTCTATGAACTCAAGGCACGCCCACGCAAACCAACATAACCGTCGGATAGAGCAAGTCTTCCCCTACCCGATGGTGATGTTGATTTGCGTTGGCGAGCTTTGACTTTCTAGAAATCATCGAAATAAGTCATTGTTTACAAAAGCTGTTACACCCTCATTCCAGCTCTATCTAGAATTCTGGATCGACATTCTAACAGAGGTTTTAAGGATATAAGGCTACAAATTACATTTTTTTAATAAAGAGCATAGGTTCTAGAAGAACACATTTTAAAAGTTCGAGTTGCAGGAAACGTCAATTCAAACTGCTCTAAAGATGTGATCCTCTGTTCAACTACTATACTAGTTGATCACATCATTCGAGCAGTTTATAATGACGTTACGTTTCGACCACTAGAACTTTACCACGCAGCAATATTTCGAGTTTCATTCTTCCAGAACTTCGAAAAAAGAGGCCTAAATACTGCTAAATAATCGCAATTTTCTCAATATCTCTGGACCTCCTAAAACAACTCGGCTATGTGATTAACATGGGATTGTCCAATAAAAACCTTATACTAAATAAACATTTTTTTTGTGAAGTATACAATCTTTGTACATTTGGTAGCTACCTTTAACCTTCATGTGTTCGATTGATTGTTGGCATTTTTCTACATGGAACCTGGGTACCCGGATGGAGCACATAAAGGATAATTATCTGGAAAACGAGAAACAATCTTCGTCGTCGTTAACTGTTGATTTAGGTGAATGTATTACATAGTAAAAACTAGACATTTGGCTTCAAATCTATGCTGTTATCATCAGTTGAATGAGAAAAAAATGTTCGAAGATGGTTTGGAAATAAAAGGTGCTAAATATGAAAATAACAAACATTCATCCAAAAAATCCCAAATTGAAACACCGCTCTATCATATAGTTCATTTATTCGTTATCTTTTCTGCATTTGTGGTTCGCTGTTTATGTATCTACCGAGTGCATCTCCATCTACCTTATACCTCCAATTATCACTTCCACTAGATCGACGCAACGTTCATTACGATCCGTGAGGTTGACTTCAAGAACAATGCGGACTACGCCAAGGTTTTCATCGTGCTTCGAAACGGAACTGATCAGCTGCGAGGTAACACAATGGTCGATATCGACGCCTTGGTCTTTCAGAACATCTCCGATGGGCTACAAGTACGCATAGATCTGGCTTCCAAGATTGGCGCCGACTATGTTACGATGCTCGACTCCAGCGTCGATGTGTGCAGTTTGAATACATCGGCAACCGATGGTATGCTGATGGAATTGATGGTCAGCGAAATGAATAAATACGGCAACATCAGTATTAGTTGCCCATTCAATTCGGTAGGAATGACAAAGGTAGTGGTTACTGTTTTTAACCAAAATAACGTTTACGTTTCAGGGCAATTACATGGCTCGTAACTTCCATATCGACACCGATAATATGCTGATAAAGTTTGCGCCACCCGGCGACTACCGTGTAGGAATCGACGTCAAACACAAAACGGACGGAAGTTCGATTGCGATACCGATCTTTGATATGGAGTTTTACGCTACCATCGCTGGGGGTTCTGAATAACTATACCGTTGCGTACCCATAGTGAAAAACTGATTTATAAAATAAAATATTCAACGCCTACAATTATTTCTTGCTACCATTTATCACTTGTTCCTTTGCCTTCGCGCTACCCGGTACCTTTACCTTAAAGTTGAGAACGTACGACTTAGGATCATAGTTACACTCTATCGTCGGGTTGAATTTTCCACCAGGAGCGCTTGACGTATTTGGACTTACCGGAAGGGCTTTTTTGCAACTATCATTCGCATCAACCGGTTTCAAAGCGCGACTACTTCGTCTTCTCCGGGTGTCAAGTATTTCATCTAAAATTCATTAAATTACATTAGCGCACGTGCATGCTGTCTGAGCCGGAATCAAGGGTGGCACTTGAAGTTCTGCTTTAACGGCAGTGGTGTAGGTAGAGCCTACTAAGAGAAACTAATATACTAAATCAAATTCACCCAATTACACCACTGAACAGACTCAATCTTATCAAAATTATACACTCAGCAAGGAACGTAGAACGAAAGGTAGCTACGTGGTATTAGCATCTTTGCAATTATTTAACTTACAATTTATCGTCATTCTCCGGTCGTTAGTCGTCGCTCCTGATAGGGGCAAAGGCGGAGTGCCGCTCGTCTGCTGCTTGCTGTATGGGCTTTGGTGATTCTGTAAGATGTCTCTCCACTTTCGCTGCTCACACTTCTTTTTCTCAGATCGAGCGTTTCCTCCATTACTACTACCGCTTCCAGTCGACGGACGAAGCTTTCCACGATTTTTCGCAGCTTGAAGAGGTGAGGATGAAGCTTTTCCACCCGGCACAGTAGGTGTCCTAATTGGCGTTTTAAATCGACGCAAATCGTCAATTACCATTACACTGCCGGAGGTGTCTCGTGCAGTTTCGTAATCAGACTCATTTCTCCGTTGGTCATCCGCCAGAATCAACTGTTCGCCTTGTACCGTTTTATAAATGACGACCGTTGAACCCTTCTCATCTATTTTGCCACTAGTGGTCGATTGTTCTGGTTTTTCCATTTTCTTGCTAGCATTGTGTGCACTTGAGACTGGAGAAGATTGAGAGAATAGTGCACCCCTCTGTTATTAATGGGAAACGATTAGTAGGAAAAATGGGCCTCTCAATGACGACAAAAATTGCCATCCTTTAGAACTTTCAGACCTTCCATTGAAGCATAGAACGATTAACCTAATTCTAAGAAAAAGTCGAATAATGCAGTCCTAAGCGTAGAAATCAATCTTACCTTTCTGGTTCTTATCGGCACCATTCAGAGTGCCGTTCAAATTCAAGCCGGAGATATCTGGCACAGTTGCAACTGATAGGTCTTTCTCTAAAGATAAATTTTGTTTGGTCACCTGACTGCTTCTACGAAAGCTTCTCTTGAAATTCTCGTATTTCGATTCATGGATGTCTATTTGATGCTCTAGGCTTTTGAAATTAGTTGATTCAGAGCTCATGCTGGATCGTTCTTTAAATGGAAATTAATTGCATCAAATGAAATACCTAGGTACTACGATAAATCATTTACCCCTGAACGATTTCGCAGGAGACTTATCATGATCATCTTTTTGTTCAGGAACAACTATTTCTGGCAGTACTACGGCACCTTTAGAACGACTCGAATATCTATCGCGTATCAGGATATCTGAGGACATACCCGAAACGATACTCGAACCACGGGTTTTGATTGGAGTAGACGTTTGAGTTGCCTCTTTAACCTGGTTAGTGAAATCCTCAAGAATAGACTGCGAATCTGGAACAAGGCCTAGTCATTTGTTGTGATTCTGTTCTATTAAATTAAAATTACTTTCGAATGGGGCACTTTCATCTTCCAGTTCAAAACTTGTCCGTTTGGCATTTGATTTCACCCTGTTTTGCTTCGACGAAGGCTTCTTTGCTAAGAATGATGCACAATCAGTTAGAATGTTTTATCTTTATCTGTTAGTAACGAATATTTCAAAAACAACCTCAATGGGAAAACACTACAACTCAGAGGAATGAACTTACTACGATTCCCGTTGCCCGTTGAAGATGACGACTTCGATGAATTTCGATACCGTGATACCGTCCAACCAGTCGGTACATCAGAATTACCTAAAGACAATGAGGTTCCAATGTATCACAAGCATGTTGATCAATCACGACTACAATGTTACCTCCATTTCGATTAACCTGTGCGCTTTGGTCTCTACGGGATATTCCCTCCTGTGGTTTATTCAGCGCAATATACGTGTCTTCAACTGGATTGGAAGGAACTGTGCTAGGCCCAGATACACACCTAACGGCATCTTTGGAGCACTTAGTTTCAAATGAATTAGGTTTTTCATCCTCATGAAATATGGTATGCTGCTGTTGAGGTATCTTATCTATTTCCAAAAACGATTCACTTGAAAATTCTATTGCAGCACTGGTACTGATTACTTTAGAACTTTCTTCAATATAAGACTTAACAGATTTTGATGCATTTCCAACTAGCACATTTGGCTCCATAGAAATTCGATTCGTCATATTGTGATCAGACATCTCTTGCTGCTCATGTAAAACTATCAAAGGACTGCGTGCAATGCGTTCCAGTTCTATTTCGCCGCTTGGCTCATGACCTAGTTGATACCGATTGACTACCTTATTGCATTCTGTATCAAACAGTGAGTTTGGAATTTTTTCGAGAACCTCAAAACAACTCTCTTTAGACGACGATGAATCGATGCTTCCTGATTCCATGTTTCGAACAGCCGTAGTTAATCTATCCATAAAATGAAGTGAATGAGGAATTTCGGATGATTCGGATCTCAACGTTCCCAAGACACTGCTACGCTTCGATTGACTACTGGATTGTTGAAAGGATTCTTCAGGTTTCAAATAAGGCTTGATTCTTATGATATGAAAATAATATCGTTCATTAATTGTAATAAGCTATTAGCATAATACTTTATAAAAAAAATGGCAGTAAACTTTATTTGGATTGTCATCAAAATGTGGAATACCTATTATAATCTTCCTCTTCTCTTGACTGCACTTGTGCGAATCGATCGTCGGTAATCATTCGCCTGAGCTCTTGCAACTGAACGCTGTACTCACTTGCTAGGGCTTCACTTCTAGCAGCGTTGCGTTGTTCTTCATCCAACTTTAAACTCAACTCATCCACCTGTTCCTTCAATGTCTTCACTTCTTGGTTCAATTGATTGGTAACAATCCTCTGCTGCTCTACTTCCGACCGGCTAGCAGCAAGCAATTCCTGCAAACCATCCACCGCTGCCTTATCTCCTGTTTTAGCCAACGACAGCTGTCGTTTCAGTGTTGCATTTTCCTTGTTTAACTGTTCGCGAATGTTCGAGTGTTCTTCTAACTCAGCATTCAACTTATCTTTTTGCAGATCCAACTTGTTACACAGTTCCTTCGTCGCTTCCAGATCCTCACGAAGGTTATGGTTCTCCTCCTTAAGACATGCAATATCAGTCTCCAACGAAACAATGGTCGCCGACAGCCCATTAGTCTGCCCCTCGTATGTCTTGATTTCCGCTTGGCGTAATCCGACCTGCTGTTGCAGCCCGTTGATGCGACCTTCCGCTTCCTGAAGCAACTTTCTGCTCCAAACATAGGGTTCCCACAGGAAATTTGATTCATTTTTTGTCGGACAGCAGGAAAAACCATGCCCCACGTTGCATGGTCGTCGAGAAATTGATACGGAAAAAGGGATATAAGTATAAAAATAAATTGGCAATAAAACAATAAACGTTGGAAAAACTAATTATCTTCTATAGCTATATTTATACCTACGGACACGGAAGGCGACCGTGTGTTAGAAGTGCGGTTCACCGCATTCACACAAACCAACAGTGCACATGCATTAGATGGAAAGCGGATTAAGAGTGAAATAGACAAAGAGAAAAAAAACAGAGAGAAGGAAGGATATCACCAACCGAGGGTAAAAAGTTAATTCCAGTTATTTTCTAATTTATGATACTACAGTGCAACAGGGGTACGGATGGAAAATTGCATCTAACTGAAGAGGATACTACTACATATAGGTAGTCATATCTTCTTCTTTTTTTCTTATTTGAAAAATCGTTAGTCCCGTAGAGTGTTTCGTGTTAATATATGAAGTGGAAAATTTAAACGCTACTCACTTGGCTTCCGCAGTTTCGACTTCCAACGTTTGGTTGCTTACTTCCAGCATATTCACTCCTTCGGAAAGCGATTTGTAATGTTCCAGCATCTCTCCACGCTCGCGTTCCTGTAAATGTTATGCAAAAGGATCTCCTCTTAATTAGTGCTCCAAATCGCAAAACAGTTTCCAAATTGCATAAAATTAAAACAAACCTACTAATTAGACTAGCACACTACCTAACGGCACGTCTCGTGAAATGTTCTTAAATCAACTCGCGTTAAATAGGTAAACATCTCAAAATAGGGAAGAAATCAAACTTGGCTTGCTTCTATAAGACTACTAAATAGTGAAAGCGCACAAAAATCTAATTACCTTAATACATAGCAGCTCTTCGGCACGCTGAATCTCCTGAACATATTCACGTAGCTGTGACTTCATGCGCTCCACCTCCTTCTGGCAATCGACAAGCTTACGCTTCGTTAGCGTCAGCTCCGAAGCAGTGCCGCTCAGATCATTCGATAGACGTCTGTGTGTACGGAAAATAGAAAAGTAAATTTAAATAAGGTGAAGAAAAGTCTCCGAGACATGGACAAATTGTTGTTTTAACGACTAACTAATCCCAATATTTGGATAGCCAATGTGTGATTTTGAGATTACAGGGTAGCTTCTACTTAACGCTCCGAGCACCACACTGAAAATGAACTCGACCCTTTTTACAAAATGATGTAGGTATCTCAGACTCTATTTATCCATTTTCTAATGTTGCTATACTATTGGAAAGTTTGCTTGCTCATTCATCTGTGTCAAAAGTTTACTTTTGATATTCAATTTGTATTCATATTGAAAATAGGGCTTGGTACCATCCATTTGGTTAAACATCATTCCTACTGAATTTTGTATGTTTTATATGCATTTGAGAGACATTTTCTCACAGCGGAACTCAAATATGAGTCGAATTCAGCGGTCGTGTACCACTTACCCATTTTCCGCAACAGCGTTATCGTGCGAACGCTTCAGTGTCGCCACCTGTTTTCTGAGCGTATCAGTTTCCGTTGCCACACTGCGCAGGTTGCTGTCTTTCTGGATGTTGTCCACGCTAGCATTCCTGTATGAAACAGAATAAAAACGGTTAAAATTAACGAGACATGGTTGAATTTATGATTTTGGTCGAGCGACTATTTTTACCGATAATAGAATATGTACCTAGGTACTTTGGAGCAGATGTGGTTAGAGAATAAAAGTTGCGAAGATTAATTTTTTATGCAGAAAACCGGAAAATGTTAATTTTTATGGAACAACTCACCAAATTTTTTTTTTCTGTTTTCGCTTCCAAATTGATATTGTTAGCAAAAAAAAATATCCATAACAGGTTAACATTTATAACGAAACGAACGAAACGAGGTTAACATTTCGTTTCTAGGAAAGTGGCGCCATGCTGTCAGTAGATGTTAGATCATAACCGACCTCACACAATGATTAATTTATTCTTTTCTAACAACATGACGCCAGTTTCCTAGAAGCAAAAAGTTAACAGGAAAAATAATGTATGGAGATTTGAACTTTTTTAAGTTAAAACGAGAGGAAAAAAATTGGTTCCGTAATAATTTTAGCCAAAACCTTTACCAAATATTAATGGCACGATTTGCTCCAAAGTAGGTAGGTATTCTATTGTATCATCTAAATTTTATGGGAATATTCGAGATGGTCAACTTCAACTCGATATCGATATCGATAGGCTCAATTTTAACCGAAAACATTCATGTAACGGATTTGTATGCTTCGTCTTGTTGAAAAGAGTATTAGCTTTCCTATTCTAATTGATCATTTCATAAGGAACCGTGGTGGATTCAGGAAATTCCGGATTTATTTTTGACGAATCGGTAGACACTATTATCACAGACAAACAGACTTAACACTCGCAAGTAGTTCATCGAACAAGCATTTAACGGTAAATTTAAAAGTATCGTAGTTGGTAGTACCGCCACCTGTGGTGCGCATAGTCAATTCCCTTGCATTTGACGTTTACACACTACCGCCATCTGTTCAGCGTACTACCCACCACAGTGTACTCAACAGATGGCGATAATGTTTTAGCGACGATGTTTTACTGTGAGAAATATTCAATGTGTTATGTCTGTTTGTCTGTGCTATTATTATTATTTTATTATAGAGACTTTAACATTGTAATGTCATTCGTCTCTGCCAGTAGACACTAGACAGGCCGTTTTAACAAGCAAAAGCTGATTAATGTCTGGCCTCACATGTTTTTTTTTCCCGAATGCTTATAAAAAAGACTAATAGAATATTCAATGATAAATTTTTTTAGTTGAACTACTGACCCTACGGTAAAGTTTTGTTAAAAAATAGACTGGAATTTACTGTCCTACATCAGAAATATGTAGCATGATCATTGAAAAGTGGTGGTAGTAATCTTTCTAGCAGTTAGACGGATAACTAGAATCCGAGATACATTATTTTGGAAAAAGTATCGATTTCATTAACGGTTTAAAACTTTGTGTATGACACACAAAACCTGTCAACCTCGCTTTCAGAGGGTTACAGTTAGCGATTTTATGATCACTGAATGCTCATTCATCGCAAGCGCTTAATGATCATAAAATCACTGATTTTGACCCTTTGAAAGCGAAATTGACAGGTTTTATATGGCATAAGGTAAACTCATCAATAGTGGAGGTACGTACCTCCACTATTGGTGCGGTTACCCTATACGAATTTTACATTCTCTTCTTGCATCTTACAAATACAAATTATCATTATTAATAATTCTGAAAAATAGTATTTTTGCCGAAATGAGCGTTGAATGAAAGCAAGACTATACTTGTCAATATACCTCGCAATATACCTATTGAAAGAAATAAGAGTAAGGGGGTGTCCATAACCTTCGTAGACAGATTTCCACTTTTCTCTGCGTAGAGATTCGTTTATACCATTTTGTTATGAACCATGAATAAAAAAAAATCCTACCCAAAAACGATGATTGAGTTGTCGAAAGCTCATGATATTCAAGTGGGGTTCTGACCATTTCTGTGGAAAACAAATTGGGCTAAAACAATCGAAAAAAAAATCGTGTTTCTTGAAAACCTTTTTCATTGATGCTAAGGCTCTAAGATCATGAAAGAGCTTAAAAAAATATTGTGCGAAAAATCTGTTTTGTCAATCTGTCCAAAATGTATAAGAGGCTCAAAATCTAAGATCATAAAAGTACACAAAAGAATACTTTTTTATTTGTTTTTGTTATGCTATCTATTCTTTTCTACAATTTAAAATATTTTGTATGAATATGAAAAGAACAATATGCCTATAACTTATTTTCGATCCAGTCCTTAAATCATATTATTCGTAACTTGTACAAAATATTCGTATTACCTGACATCTGGCCAAATGCTAATAAGCAATGAACCAAATGTGTGCTTGAACTCGGTCATATTGATTCACGACTAATTCGATATTTTTCAATAAATCATAGCTCGAAAAACGGCAAATCAAATCGAAGACGTCATGTTTGAGACAAATTTGTAGGAAACTGGATTGCATTGAAAAAAAAAACACAGTGAACAAAATATCACAAATTTTTATGAAAACATATTTGAAAGCTTACCAAACATGATAACATTTCTGAAATGGACATAATGGACACTACAAAATAGACCAAAATCGAAAAACAAACTTTTAGTAAAAGCTCATAAACCAACTTACTAAGAAAAACTCATCATGCTCTGAGACCAACACTAGCACACGTCCCAGAAGACGCAAACTTTCCATCACAAAAGACGAGAGATTAAATTCAACCAAACCGCTTTTTATCGCGTGACACATTTTTCGGCCTCGGGACACTCGATTTTTTTTTTCGGCCTACGTCTAAAAATCTCTAAAATAAATTAAAAAAAACCATGATTTTTCATCAATGGTGAGGGAGGATGAATTGCATTTTGTTTACAATGCACTGTTTCAAAGTGTGTAATAGAAGGTTTTTTATGTCATTTTCGGAACGACACAGAGCAATTATTTCGAAGATTCAAATCCGGAAACGTTCTGATGCTAGACGGATTTGGTAGATCTTGAAAATTTTGTAATGTAAACAAGTTCTTAAAGAGATAACAAAAAGGAATACAACTTCCATACAAATATAAACTTTAGAATCCACTCACGTATATTTTAAGTAACCACGGATTCCCCTGTGTTTACTCATACCAAAAAGGTTAACTTCCACGGAATTACCGCGATCGTTTTCCATAAACAACATCGCACTACACTCAACCCCCCCCCCCCCCCCACGGGCGCCTCAAGTCGATCAATGACCGCCACTGTCAAGTACCATTCGCCAGTGTCTTTAGCATCGCAGAAGGTCAAAGTCACTACCCTGCCTGCCCGAGTGAGGCAAGCTCCTATTGCGTAAGTCACTACCGGCTTCCACAACCGCAAAACTATATCTGTCCCGCATGACAGAAGAGTTTGACAAGACGTCATTGACATTGTACGACCATCAACACAACACAGCACAGCCACACCGAGGACCGCGCGGAATTAGTCAACGCGGTGTGGGACATCAAGCATACAAGTTCATTGCGAAAAAAAAGGCAAAAAAATATAAAGAAAATAGTTGCACGATCATGCGAAAAAAATCCACCACAGAAATGCTGATTGTGGCTGTGTGACGACGACAACGACGCTTGACTGATGGCGTTTAACTGCGTTCGTGCGCTTGGTCACTTGATCGTTATCATATTTGTCGCACCATGCTCGGAGCAGCTGCAGGTTGACTTGACTGCATAAGCGTCGGAGATTGAATTGAATGTTTACAAAATAGAAAATTCAAAATGAAAATCAATGCAGTAGATTAAACAATAACTTCAACAGATTATATCATTTCAAATATCGTAATAATTACATGACACATAGCGGCACTCATTTTCCTGTAAAAAAAAGTGCATGAACAACAATTGACCCTCTAACACGGAAACCTAATGCAATCGATTTGATCAATCCAATGCAAACGATCGAACGATCAATCTTACACCATCCAGTAAATGTAGCTTCCGATCCATATTGTTAGCTGTTAAATCATCCGCTGATTGATCCTATGTTAACCAGTTCGGTGTAACATAAATAAGCAGTCACAAACAACCTGTAAAGCAATCAATACAACCCCACACCACAAGCATTTCAACACAGATACCCCCGGCCGAGACGAAATGCATCCCGCGGACAAGGAAAGAGAAGAGGCAAAACATTTACAGAAAATATGACCGTAGGGAAATGTAGAAAAACGGAGTAAAATCAAATCTGCCTCATCAACCACACCAATTTTTCAAAGGTAAAGCGCACTTACCGCCATGCACGGCTTTGCTGGAGATTTCAATCATCAGCAAGTGACGAACCCATCGTTTCATCGTCCACTAGTTGCGATAAAAATTTACATGTTACGCAGTCTTGCATCATTGCATCTGTAGAGATTTGTGCCAACATCAACCATTCTGCAGCAGTCACTTAACCAGTTGTAGTAGCATAGTAAGTCTATATCGATTTCAAGGTTTCATTTCCGACTAAATAAAATTATATGGCTGAGTCAGTTGAACGTGTATTACCGGCTACGATCTGCGGCGGTCAATTCGCCGATTTTAGCAATGGCTATAAATTTTGTGGCCGCCCAGCTAGGCCTCTAAACATCAAATACAAACCCAAAACACACACAATCAATTAACTGCAATCGTGTATATAGATACGTTATGCAACTGCCAATGTGGTGGATGTGTTTATTAGTCACAAGGACATCACACGTACGTCCATGATCAAGGCAAGTAGCCGGGCAATTTTTCAAACGAATTTTCATCGGAAAGAACCTCTCTGCCTGCACACGTGAGATGCTCGCATTCGGAGGCATGGTCATCGGTGATCGATCCCACACAGGTAAGCGATCTCTCAGTCTCAACATGCACGCGGTGTGTACATGGCTCTCTTTACCAACTCTTCGTTCTCAGTCTCGATCGAGCGAAGCCTTTTGCGGCGGCGGTCCACAACACAGCATTTAGTCTCTCTCGTTCGGCCGTCGCGGTAACACTTTTGATGCGCTAAGGTGCAGCAAGTTTTCCTATGCCTGGAATATGTGTTAGTTCTCAAGGTTCCTTGCATCCAAAACGAAAAATGAATGGATAAAAATCCCCACAAGAAGTGATAAATTGAATTGGATGGAATTCAGATATGTTAAAAATAGTGTTTGCGGCTCATTTCGACCAGTGAACTCAGAACAGATCACCGCTGATTGATGGAATCCTGAAACTGGTTTTCTTTGTTCTAACTTCACATCTCCTTGGTCTCGAGTGCCAACCAATGTCCGGATCAGAACAAAACCGTGGTCACAAATAGTCTCGTTAAGTGTGAGTGAGTGTGAGCGCAAGTACGCGAAAGAAGTCTGGTTTCTCTTGTTCTGACACCAAAGCCCACACCTGGATTAAGAACAACACCGGAATAAGTGAAAAGAAGACACGGTATGGTGATCGTGCATCGTTGTATGCACTTGTGCAGCAGTAGCAGCAGCAGCAGCAGAAGTACGGAACAATCGAGCGACGGATTTATGACCTGAGCCGGAAATCACAAATCAGACATCTATTATCAAACCGCATCCCTCACCTTCGGACGAACGACCCAATACAACACGCACCTCGACGTAGAACTCCGATCGGAAACTGCAGATTCTTTTCTTCTAGATAATTAATGCTCATTTAAAGTGGTAGGTATCTCCATTCATGTTAAGCAGCAATCAGGAAAAGATTAAACAGCTTCCTTGATCTCACGGTATAGTTGAGTACTAATTGTTTAGCTTGAAGATCGCTCATAATTCCTACAATCTTGGACATCCGGTCACCTTGATCTTTAAGTTATTTTTAAAACAATGAGAGGATCATTCCGAAAGGAACGAATTAAAATGAATAGCTCATTTAGATTCCTTGAAAAATGATATTCAACAGGAAACCTGCGCTCAAAGCGATAATTAAACGTATACAATCATTTTCGTAAATGAAAAGTTGTGGCGATCGCACATAAATGCGAAACTTAATAAAAAATACAGAACCCAACTCAAGACTTAACCTTTTTTTTTACCTTGGGAAGAATAAATTAAGCCGAATTGTTATCATAAAGACCTAAGATATAAACAGGTCATCACAGTTTTGTGCAGATCGAAGCATTTTGCCATAAAGAAAAAAATAGGGGAAATCATGTCTTCATAAGTGTTTATCCCTTTTATCGACATGAAGAAAAATAAAGCCCTTGCGTTTAACTTTGCCCTTCATCTTCAACAAGTTTATTTCTATCTTCATGACATACTTTTTTCTACCTATCTTTTTATTAAGTCTATGCGTTAGGTTCGAAACTTCTAGTCAATCTAGGAAATCTATCAGATCACAAAAAAAACCAAAACAGAAAACTTAAAACGTTTCGAATGTAGTTACAAATAAAATCAATCAAAAGCTAATAAATGAAATAAAAAATGTCTGATTATTTTACGCAAATACGAGCAAATAAAATAAAATGTAATGCAAAATTTACTAGCTAATCATTACTTTATTGGTAAGAAGTTTCTAATAGCCCTCCCAGATCCTCTGTTTACCATACCATAGGAACAAATTGTTACACCAGAATTTCAGGATAAACCATTAAAACAGAGTGATTATTTACCAAATGAATATCTTGCTCAGTTTGCTGCACAATTTTCTTCAATTTCCTCCCGTATCAGTCTTTGTTTTTAGAATTTAATCACTCAGCAATATTTCAAATTAATTTTTATCGTTTCAATTTCAGATGTAAAGTGCATGGGTCTTAAAAGAAAATATTTGAGATGCTGCACTTTGAAAACAAATATTTGTAAGAACCGTTATTGAAAATTCTCATGATATGAATTGCAGAATTAACTAGGAATTCTGCTCTGAATTATCATAGACTTCTTCTGAAATAAGCCAGAAAACACTTCGCGTATTAATTATCGTTGAATTCTTTTTGGAATTTCCTTGAAACCCTTTTTAAGAATTTGATTGGAATCCTTCTTAGAATTCTTTTGAACCTATCCGGAGACTTTGATTCGTTTGAATTTTTTTTCAAAAATTTCTTTTAACTCTATTCAAAACAGCAGAAATCTTTCGCAATTTTATTAAGGAACCCCTTGGTGTATTATAAAGAATTTCTTTATAATTATCACCAATTTTTTGTAATCAATTTAGTTGGAGCTCTGCGATGAATCTTTCGCACTACACACTTAGAAAAATGTAAAAATGATGTAAATTTAGGTGCTCTGAGACTGGCATATACGAGCGTCAATTTTGACATAAAATTGAACCATAAAATACGCGAAATTCAGCTCAATCAAACGTACTTTCGAACTTTTCAGTCTCGGAGCACTTAATTTTCATGACCTGTTTGTTTACGTCTCATCCTTTATGTCAAAGATGGATTCCGTTATGTGTAAGATTAGGTATTTCTAAGTGTGTAGGGTATCGCCAGAACACTCTTAAAACTGTTTCTTGTTGAATTTTCATCATAATTCTCTTGGAATTCTTCTTAAGATTCATCTGTCTTTTTCCTTACGATCCCTATACAAATCTTCTCAGAATAACGTAGGAATGTTCCATGAAGATTTTTTTTACAACTCTTTTTGATATCTTCTAAAATTACCTAAGAATTTAATTTAGAACTTGCATTCTTTGCAGAAATCACTAAAAATTCATCTAACAATTTCTAAGGACTTCATGTCAGAATAATTCTGGAATTCTGCTCAGAACTTTATGAGAGAATCCTCCTCAATATTTGTTTGAAATCAACACTTTGAATACTCCTAAATTTTACTAAAAAATCCAAGGTTTGTCCGCAAGATTCTGTAGATTGTTCTATAATTTGTTATAACCCTTAAAATGTATCTACGACTCATAAGTATGATTTTTTTTTCAAATCTGTGATCTTGAAAAATTTAAAAATCTCACATTTTAATTGTTTTTTCTTCAAAACTTGCAGCATTATGCAGATTGTTATCAGATTTGTTTAATCTTTCAGTAAATTGCTCTCAGTAAATAACCTTTCAGTAATTTTCTTCAAGTGTCTATTGTCTATTGAGTGTCTATTGGACGTGGGTATTAAATTTAATGAACCATATTTAGTTTAGGTTTTATATAAATTAATTAAATCTCTTATGTTTCACAATTCTGTCTTATAACCTATTCTTCCAGGTTACTCAATAAATAGCTCAATGATCAATGATCAATGATTTCCCTAATAAAAAATTACCATAAACGAACGATAATCCAAATGATTGAACTATTCCACAAATGGTTTGGATGATACCCAGAACACGTCGTTAAGCAAATTAACCATAAAATTTTTATTAGGGTTGTTTTGAATACATTAGTGAATCATAGAGTTGAATTTATACTTTCAGCTTTAAAAAATACTATCTGTAATTTTGCTTTTATTTTCCCACAAATAACCTCCGAAAATTAGTTGGCCATGTTTTCTAAAATGTGTACAATTTGGGTTTTTTTTTATTGAATATTAACAACCGGGAAATTTTTAAGATTTGAACCGGCAAAACCGGAAAAAACCGGGAATTTCAAAATTAAAATTCACTGGCCACCCTACCAGATGATTTTTCGTAATTTTGAAATAGCCGACATTTTTTCAGGATCACAAAATGGTTCAAAATTACATCATACTATCATATGATACATAAAATCACATGAGATTTCTAAAATAAGATCATTGGTGGTCATATGATCACAGTCCAGGACCGCAGTGCCCACATCCGGACATGTTACAAGTGACCAATTTCTGAATTTAGCTAAAACCCATCATGCGACACATTAAATTACATGAGAGTCTAAAATAATTTTCATTGTCAATCCCATTAAATGCCTAGGACCTCATTGACCACTCCTGGACAAATTACGGGTGCTCCGTGGAAGTGTTCTTTTTCTAAATTGGGCCAAAACCCAACACATACACATATACTCGAGAACTCATACCAAAGATAATTGGTGATCATATTGAAATTTGGTCATGACTACGTTGGCCACACCCAGGCTTGATCTGGGTGCCCAGAGAGGTGGCTAGTTTCTGATTTGAGGCAAAACTACACTTAAAAATGTGCCTTTTTGTCACCAACTCACATGGAGTACAGGAGTATGTTCTTGTATGAGCAATGTGAAGCTGGTTACTCAATTTAACCGCCAATGATCTTGATACTGAACTCTCATAAGTTTTGAAGCGTCGCATGCTGAGCATTGAAATAGAAAACAACTAACATGTATCTAAAATGATTATAATATCCCACGCTTAAAACCCATTTGTGTTTCATTTCGGCCTGAATGAGTTAATTATGTATAATAAATTAAAAAAAAACTAAAGTAAAACTAAATGATAAATGTTGCGATATTGTCACTGCTGAACCTAAATTGCTAGTATTTTATTTAAAGATTTCATTAATAAAAATTAGGACACACTTGATCCCTTTAATAATGTTGGGTATATCTCAGCGTAAAAAATAAATATTAGATGCAGTTTTCATATTGACTGATATTGCCGTTCATCGCAAGACGGTTCCATGAGCGTTTTTGTCAAAACTGTTTTTTTTTTTCAATGGAGATGGTAGCTAATCACCCATATGTTCATAATACTACATAAACTCAACAACTTTGTTCTAGAAAAGTTTGGAAAAATAACCAAACAGGTTGTCCCATTACGTAAGAAGCTATGGTGAGAAGCAAACGCGTTAAATGCGTTTTTCTCGGCTTGCTGATGGATGCTATAAGACGGATTTGCCATGAGCGGCAGTAATAGTTAAAAAATTTCGCTCCACAGTGCTCAAACGGTTCCAAATTGGGCCCTGATTAGCCTCCCAAAATTTGAACTCATTTAGTGAGAAACTGACTTGGCACAAAACATTTGAAGTTTATATGGGAATTACTATAACGAAACCATAATTTCGATTCATATCTATCTCAAAAATCACCAGTTCACTCTACTTTAAAAAATGATAGCTGAGCTTGTTGAGAATTTTCCCAGCTACAACTTAGTTCAAGACCACTTTTCGATCAAATGTAAGGAACAAAAATTATTAATGATTCAAGTCACTGAGTCTTATGATTATGCGCAATCAACTGTTCTGCAGGCAACATTAGTGTTTATGGCGCGTAGAGTAGAGGACAAAAATCATGGCTACTATGTAACACTGTAGAATACAGTGTTGCCCACAATACAGTTGCTTAATCTTGCCATAAGATTATCAATCTCTTAAACAATAAATAACTATTTAATGTGACGTTTGGCTGAAAAACGAACTTCTGCAAAGTTGTAGCTGGGAAAAATTCCCATAAGAATAGTACTAGAATTTGGTAACAGTACAATACGTAAAAAGTCTAAATGACAATGAACAATAAGTTTTGTTTTCCCATAGTAATTTCCATATAAACTTCAAATGGTTTGTGCCAAGTCAGTTTCTTATCAAATGAGTTTAAACTTTCGGAGGCTAATCAGGATCCGATTAGAAACCGTTTGAACACTGTGGAGCGAAAATTTCAAATTTTGCATCAGTCTAATAGTCAAACTCCTATGTAACATTAAAAATATTAATGTGATAAACGAATTCTCAAAAGTACATTTTTCTGACGTATTCACATTAATCGAATTGCATCTAATATGGAAATGATAAAGCCTCCAAAGATCGAGAACTGTCCTGGTCACGTCCTT